GTCATTTGACCAATGGAAATACTGTGTTTCTATAGGATAACAGGTTACAACCTTGTAACTTTGGCAACTGTTGGTGGGCCAAATCAAATGGCTTGGCGGGCCAAATTTGGCCCGCGGCCCCCACTTTGGGCTCCTCTGGTATAGTGGTATCCAATGGCTCTGTGTTTGAACCCAGGTCTGGCTTTGCTGTACAAAAAGACCATTAAAGCAACAGAACAAAATGGAGCAAACATGCTCAAGGATGTTTCAAAGAAAATCCTGTTTTGAAGTATTCAAATATTTCTGTGGAGATTTATTTTAAATAAAGTACTGTAATTTATTTTAGGAAAACACTAAAACATACAAACAACAAAAGCTATAGTGCACTATTTCTGATGAAGATGAATGTTCTGAGATATGTGTGCTAAAAATAAGAGAGTACGCAGAAATTGTTTGATTGCAAAAATTACATAAAAGAAACTATAGTCATGAAAACATAAATACTGACTTAGCATTTACATTCTATTTTCTCCAAACTGTGATTCAGCTATCTACAGCAAGTAAGATATTATTTGTTCACAATCTCCCCACCAAACCCTACATCCAAAGGTCTGATTTTGATTTGTTTAATTTGGCAGGAATAAATAAGGCAAGCTCTAGTGTGCCTATAAACTAAAACCAAAGACAAACAAAGGTATAAATCACTAAATAACTGGAGGAGGAAAAGGTTCAAACATATTAAACGCACACATATGAATAACTCTGTATCATTCACTAGCTTGTGAAAAGCACAAAATAACTAAATAAATAAACATATCTGGTGATTTCCTTGGATGTTTTGTATGTTTGAGATGATCTCAGCGAGTCCAGCCTTGGAGTAAAACCCTCATTAGCAGGAATGATCGTTGCCCAGAACTGTGGAACACTTAACATTTATGACAAGCCCGTTGCACAATAGCAAGCATCAACCCCCCCACCACCCCACCTCTCTTTGCAGCATCAAAGAATTCCAGCATGAAACCTCTGCTCTTATGCAACCATTGAAGCTCGAAGTGCGTATCGTTTTCACTTCTGAATGACTTTGTAACAGCATTCGTATCAGACAGGATCAATTCWTACCAGGACTCCCTGAGCGAACAACAAAAGCATTGTGCTACACAGCGGGTCCTTTAAAGGCTTTTCACTTTACTCGAATGTGTCGTTACAGAAAATAATAAGAGAAAAAAAAACAGCACAAAGTTGTGGATTTTAATCCTATTTGGCAGTGGGGATTTTTTTGCACCTGCGGTGTCTGACTCTGTGGGATAGTGTTGCGCCACAAACAAAGGTCTGTTAGGCAGAACTGAGCTCCAGCAGACTGGAAAATGAGTTTCTGCCACTTGGCACAGTTTCTTCATTCTCATTAAATAAAGCAATGAAGAATTAAAAAMAGAAACTAACCAGACCCCAAGACACAAGGCCATGTTTTTGTCTGAATTAACTAAAAATTGAGATTCAGTCAAATTTACATGTTTGCCTGTCATGTTAGCAAAATATCTCACAAAGTGGATGTTTATGAAATTCTCAGTAGCACCTAAAATTGATAACTTTTTTTAAATTAACCCGACTCAAGATGGCCRCCACAGTTAATCAGTCTTAGAAAACATAAACATGGTTATAACRCYGTTGATTTRCAGATATTGAGCTAAAGTTTGGWGTGGTAATAGAGTMATTCCCATCACATACATAAGCTATGTTTACATAAGTAATCAGAATAAATGGCCAATCAAAATAAAAAAAATATTCAGAATATTCTGATCTGATTCAGCTCAACCAGAATGAATTAGTAATCCAAATGAGAGGAGTRSTTTATGYCCAYTGATAATCCGAAAGGCTTGCATGTAAACAYTTAATCTGATGTTATTCTGGTTGTGGAAAACTGACCCAACTATGCATCCTGGCATAATTCTGCCCGGCTAATGGCTAATATGTCAGGGAAGCAAAATTGGTTGGTTAGCGATACATTTCWATTAAAAATTCATTCAATCCAGTTTATTTATAGCACCAAGTCACAAACATTGTCTCAGGGCACGGTACAAAAAATAAATAAAATAAACACTCTAATAAATCTATCTAAAGAAGCCAGCATAYAGCATTAAATCACTTCATCACAGTCTCCCATCCTGAGCAGCACAGTGGTGACAGTAGAAAGGAAGAACTCCCTTTTAACAGGAAGAACTGTCCACCAGAACCAGAACCAGGCTCAGGACAGGCGGCCATCTGCCTTGACCGGCTGATTTGAGATACAGAGAAAACACAAAGTGACAGATCCACATGTATTTTCTATGAGAGACAGACAAATAAGACATTATTGATTGGACTTTAAAAAAGCTTAAAATTAGCAAACGCCTTGATGTTCGAAAGTGTAGGAACACGGAGTTATTTAGACAAGTGCATGAAAAGCTGRAGGAAGAAGAAAGAACGTTTGTTTATGTTCATCATGGAAGTAAAACTTCTTCTGTGTTTTTTTTAGGGAAGGTTTACAACTCTGCGCATGTTAGTACTTCTATTCTGGATGAAAGCCTGGTGCACGTTGGATTCATTAATTTCATGCCCATATAAACGATACATTCAGATTATTTGATCTAAACACATTTCAATCCAATCAAAGCATTTTGTGCACGTAAACATAGCTATTGACACACTTTCTTTTCAAAATTTAATAAAACCGGTTTCATTTTCATCATTGTTGACAAGATGATTCRTTTAAAACTCAGACATAAAGACAGCAACAATATGCACTCCTTCAACAAACAGTTTAATGGACAAACTTGGGGAGCTGAACAAAAACAAGAAAAAGAAGATAAATAAAACATCATTGTGAACGTAAAAAATCTTCTCCAACAGAATGATCATTTTAATTTTGTGTCTCTCTTAAACTTATTACACACAAAATTATCCACCATTAATACTAAGCTTTAGGTGTCAAGTTCATTTTTGTCTTGACAGCTATATTTAGATCCTATCTAAATATAAATGCAGACACTTTGAACTCCCTGCATAAGACATATTTCCTCTGCCTACTGCTTTATCCCATTGAGGCTGAAAGTGCATTCCACATCTGTAAGCTGCTCTGAAGACAAATAATGGAAATCATATGACCGACAGTGCTGTAAAAATCAAACAGGGAGGAGAGAGCAGTGAAGACAGAACACGACTCGAAATTTAAGATAACTACAATCAAACCCTGCTGTCGACTCACTTTTAGTTTTTGGATGTAAAATAAAAGAGTTTTCAGAAACTAAACTGGGTTTATTTCAGCAATGTGGACCATAAATCAAACCGAGCTGCAGAGATTTACTCAAAGTAATAAATATTTACAGCAACGGGACACASTTGAGTTTAAATGAATGATGGTTACATGATTGCTTTATGTTCATGAGGTAAATTAACAATTTGGCATCTGGAGCCTCTAAAAGACCTGAAATGGATCATTTATTATAATATTTTTTTAAAAGTAGGATTCTGTGGAAGGATTATAAAGTACAAATAGCTTACCTGTTGCAGATATAGTACCTCTTTAAATAAATTCATTTTGGAGAAATAGAGTTTAATTTTGATTATAGCTAAGAATCATCTCCAACACAGAAATTTAAACAGACAAGATCTCGGTTTAAATCACTGGTCTGCAAGGTGACTTTGAAATGAGATTTTAACAGTTTTGAACTTCATATTTCATGTTTTTATAAGTAGTGAGAAGTAGTGAGGTTTTGTCAAGTTGTGGATATTTTTATGGGCTGGAATAAAGTAAATTAATGAACAAAAATAATTTAAAGTGGATATACAGTATGATGCTATTAAATCCTGTTTTTTTCACATTTAAATCGTTCAGTTTGGGGCCGTATAAAATTGAACTGCAACACTTTGGTCTGAATTCCTTGCGTTAACCTTACCACCCTTTTGCATCGCTTTTATGGTTGCTTCTCAGTTCAACTCATTTTGACGCTGTCTCTTTAAATTCAAACAAGGGGCTTCACACCATGACCCCCTCCAGACCGGTGCACTCCTGTTTGAGAGAGGGGGTTACGGTTATCTAGCCGCACAGAAGCATTTTATTTGCAAATTAATTGAAAYACRTCAACAATGGAAGACTTGTCCATCCAGACTTACATGTTGGAGACGACCAAATCCTAGTTGGTAAGACCAGATCTTATTTGGTAATGCTGTCGCAAATTTTGTGATGTAATAAATCAGAAAATGTTGTAGAAAACAGAGAAAAACTTAGAATATAAAGATAAATATAAATATAAGGATAACTATGCAGCACTGTGAGAGACTAAAATCAACTATTCTTCACTCCTAGAGACCCCAAGTACACAACAACATGCATTTAACAGCTACAAAAGTAGATTTTGCCCCTCCAAACTTCTGTTTCTCACGAGTGAACCCTGTTCGATCCGCATACGTGGTGGATAAAGTTCTGGTCGTAGCAGCAGCTGCTCCAAACCATCAAGCCTCACAGTCAGAGACAGAAATATGTTCCACAGATGCCATCCAGYCCCAACGGAGACACTTTGGCAACATCTGCTCAGGTCTCATAAAATAAATACTACATCATTATTTCAAAGTGGGGTTAACAGTGGACGTTAAAGCTCTATTCAACAGCTTTGCCTCAAAATATCCATTTAATTTGTTTTTATTTGCGATTGTACCTGTAAAGAAGGCCATAACATGCCTTGTGAGTAACTAGCCAAACATCTTCAATATTATTKCCATGGCCATGAGGTTTTCATCAACTCCACTCCCAGGTTTATTGTATCGTTGCACAGGTAGGAGGATTGGTTCAGCTCTGCTCTGTTAGTGCCCAGGCTTTTTCAAAGAGCATTTGATGTTTTATCTGCAGGTTCTTCAGCAGCGACTGAGCCTCCTTCCTGTTCGCACCTTTGCCACCTAAAGCCTCGGCTGTGAAGGATAAAAAAAAGACAATGTGAGGTTGTGATTAGCTGAGAGTACAGACAGAAGGCAGGTGCACACCTAAGGGGGTTACGGTTATTGCTGTGCTCGCTTTAATTTCCTTTATCGTTTCGTCAAGCTTTTGAGAGGACCGGTTCTTTGGTCTGACGGGCGGCAGCTCCTTTATCTGTGGCCGGGGAAAATAAAAGTGTAACCAGKTTGTATGATTTATTGGATTATGAAAGCATCTTTGTGCGTGTGAACCCATTTCTGAGGGGCAAAATATCAAACCTTTTTTTCCCTCTGCCTGTATGGAGTCTGGATGCTATCAAGTTTTGGTTTGGAGTCTCTGTAGACATTAAGATTCCTCAGTCTGTGCTCTAACATCCGAACAGCTGTCTGAATTCCTRTTTGAAGAGAAGAAAAACATCACTATTCCCCACGAGGGTGAATGTATACTGAAACCTTTGCATGTACAACATATTACACAGCTGCGAGGGAAACACAACATTTATCACTCCTCACCGACGGACTTCAGCACATCAGGATTCACTTCTGTACTCTGTAGCGTTTTGTTGATTGTGGATTCTTTGGGGCTGGTTCTGTTTCTCTGCTTGTTCTCTGTGGTTTCTTTCTTTTTTGATGAAGACATAAGTTCAAACTCAAGTTTATCCTCTCCCTGAGGAAAAACATAAAATCACAACAATAATTTAATGTTGATACTTATTTTGTCAACCAAGAGCCAATTTCAGTTACTGTCACATCTTTTTGTATTTTATGCTGTAGGACAGGGGTGTCCAAACATTTTGTCACATGGGCCAAAATCATAAAGTCAGAAGGATTTAAGGGCCAAAAAATATTATTCCTTTACCTGCTCAACAATAAACTAAGCAATGAATACTTTAATTAAACAAATAATGTAGTCAGATTTATTGCTGGAAATGGATGTGTAAATTAATCTAGATCCAGAACTTTAACAGTGTTTTGCAGGATTCCTTTAATGAAAGAAATTTTTGCAATTTTCTAGGTTTCAACTGGGGGCCAAAATAACCCAATTTAGTCAATTCTGATCAATAAAATCAGGATTTATGTCACTCTTTTATTGAAAATGCTTGCTGTTTTCAGACAAATTTATTTTATAATTTAAAGCAGATTGGAGTGCAGCAAAATCAGTTTTTGAGTAGAAGTCAC